TAGTAGTAATAGTCGTAGTAGTCGCAGTAGTAGTCGCAGTAGTAGTAGTAGTAGTAGTAGTAGTAGTAGTAGTAGTAGTCGTAGTAGTAGTAGTAGTAGTAGTAGTAGTCGTAGTAGTAGTAGTAGTATTGGTAGTAGTAGTAGTAGTAGTAGTAGTAGTAGTAGTAGTAGTAGTAGTAGCAGTAGCAGTAGCAGTAGCAGTAACAGTAGCAGTAGTAGTCGTCGTCGTCGTAGTAGTAGTAGTACTAGTAGTAGCAGCCGTAGTAGCTGTAATGGATAGAAGGGGTAGTAGTAATAGTAGTAGTAGTAGTAGTAGTAGTAGTAGTAGTAGTAGTCGTAGTCGTAGTCGTAGTAGTAGGAGTAGCACTAGTAATAGTCGTTCTAGAAGTAGTGGTAGTAGTAGTAGTAGTAGTAGTAGTAGTAGTAGTAGTAGTTGTAATAGTAGTAGTAGTAGTAGTAGTAGTAGTAGTAGTAGTAGTAGTAGTAGTAGTAGTAGTTATTGTTGTTGTACCACCGGCCGCAGGAGTAGTAGTAGTAGTAGTAGTAGTAGTTGTTGTTGTAGTCGTACTACTGGTAGTCCTACTAGTGGTACCACTAGTCGTCGTGGTCGTAGTACTCGTGGTCGTCGTGGTAGTAGTATTCGTGGAAGTAGTAGTACCAGTAGAGGTAGTAGCCGCAGGAGCTGCAGTAGACAGATTTGTAGAACAACTATTAGTCGTAGTAGACGCAGTAGTCGTAGTAGTAGTAGTAGTAGTAGTAGTAATAATAATATTAATAGTAGTAGTAGTCGTAGTAGTAATAGTAGTAGTAGGAGTAGGAGTAGCAGGAGTAGTGGTAGTACGACGCTACAAGTTGCGATGCTTACAACAGACACATTCACCTGCGTAGTAGCAGTCTGACCGCTACGCATGTCAATCGGAGGGATCTTACGGCACGTACCGCTAATCGTATTGCTCGTGCGAGTCTTACCAGTCATGAGACTACCACAGTTTGGATCCATCTTAAGGAATAGTCATGCTAGAATTAGTAGCAATTGGAGGGAAGAGGGAGGATGGATGATGACCAGGGAGAAGTTTGGTGGAGACGGGAGACCAGGAGAGGGAAGGAGGCGGAGAAGGAGGAGGACGAAACCGAGGACGCAGGCGCCAAGTTTTCTACATGGACCCGCCCACACTGTGACCGCCAGCCGGGCAAGGGAGGAGGAGGAGGAGGAGGAGAAGGGAGGGATGGGAGATGAGGGGGATGGAGGAAGAGGAGCGCTATAATGGTACATCGGCAAGTCCGCCGCGCCGCTTCGCGGCAGAGGCATGCTACGCATGCCCTTTCATCGTCTGACGGAGAGGCCGACCCCCGGCTCACCTACACAGGGTGACTCCGGCAAAAATCTCCTTTTCGGCCCCCATTGGCCCAGGCGAAGGGCGTACCCATGGCCTTCACATTGTCGATGGCGCAGGAATCCTGGCAGGTGTGTATATGAGGCAAGATGTCGGTGCACGGCACGATGTTATGTCCCGAGCGAGAAAAACAACAAAAAGGGCAGAGGGCTCGATAGAACTCTACCTTGTCCGATATTACCGGCACGGTTGGCCGGAAGTTGAGCGCGCAAGTGCGAGCGATTGGAAGTTCGCCGAAATTTCTTTGAGTATCGCCGATTGCACGCAACGGGCCAGCAAGAAGAGAGGCAGAGTCCAGCCCAGGGCCGATTGCTGTCCGTGCGGTCATTGCCGCTGCCATCTCGAAATGGCCCGAGTCTGGCAGGTGTTATTCGGGAGCACCGGCAGGTACGTGCTGTCCGTGTAGAACTGCTGCCGAATTCATGCGGTGCTGCCAGGTGGGAGCAGGATGTATTTGGCCAAGACAACCTCTAGCGCTGCAGTGCAGAAGCATCGAAGCCCAACCACATGGCGAGGACGCGTTGTCACGGTGGTCGGCGCCGAAGTCCCAAGGTCGCAGCCCGTGAATCTGCACGACCTCCTGGAGCCTCGCCCTCTGCCGCGGCAGCGCATCGGAGTGACACTCGAGGGCGCCCAGCTTCTCCCCGCGGTGCAGCTTGCCCGCCTTAAGCTCCGTCAGTTGGCCGTCCCGTTCCGCGAGCTGCCGCTGATGGCTTCGGCTCGCTCGCATTGACGCTGGACACCTCGGTCGGACTGCAGAGCGTCCACCAGCTCTCCCTGCTCACCGAGCTGCCGCGTGTGCTTACTCCGCGGTCGCTTATTGTCAGCTTGGACACCTCGTGCTGCAATGCCGTGACATCCACGACCAGCGCGTCGAGCTGCCGGACGTGTTTTTGCAGCTGCGCTTTCACGTTGGACACCTGCAGCTCCAGGGACTGCTCCTTCACGCCCTGAGAAAGAGACGGATGGAGGTGGAGGGAGGAGGAGGAGGAAGGAGGAGGAGAAGTAGGAGGAGGAGGAGGATAATGGAGTGGAGAAGGAGGGTGGATAAGGAGGGTGGGGAAGGAGGAGGAGGAGGAGGAGGAGGAGGAGGAAGATTAGGAGAAGGAGGAGGTGGAGCAAGATGAGGAGAAGGATGAGGATGAGGAGAGACGGAGGAGGAGGAGGAGAAGAGAGGAGAGGCGGAGGAGGAGGGACGAGGGGGTGGGGGACGAGGAGGGTGGAGGAGCAGGAGGGAGGAGGAGGAGGAGGAGGAGGAGGAGGAGGACAGGAGGATGAAGAAGAGGAGGAGGGTGGTGGAGCAGGTGAGATGAGGAGGAGGAGGAGTAGGAGGAATAGGGAGAAGGAGGAAGAGGAGGAGGAGGATGGGGAGCAGGAGGGTGGACGCGGAGAAGATGAGAAGGAGGAGGGTGAAGAAGGATGGGGTCTGTGGAGGAGGTGGGAGGAAGAGGGAGGTGGAGGAGGAGGGTGGCAGCAGCAGGGGCGAGAGCATGGGCGGGTCCTGATCGGCAGGTCGATCCTGCAGGATCCACGAGTACCCTCGTGGCTTGCCGGTCGCGTCTCGTGGCCACCACATGTTTGGATCACGGATCACGGTGGCCCTCAGCAGAGACCCGTGTAAGCCCTCGTGTCCTCCGCAGCAGCAGGGGCGATCGGCGGCCTGCTCGGATTGCCGGCCACTTGAACCCGCGAGCCCGACCCCAACCCGCCTTTCTTTCAGGGCGGCGGTCGTCATCGCCGCCGCCGCCGCCGGTCGTCGTCATCGCTGGTCGTCGTCGTGGTTGCTGGTCTTTGGCCTTTGGCCGTCGTCGTCGTCGTCGTCGTCGTCGTCGTCGTCGTTGTGGTCGCTGGTCTGGTCGCTGGTTTTCGTCGTCGTCGTCGTCGCCGCCGCCGGTCGTCGTCATCGCTGGTCGTCGTCGTGATTGCTGGTCTCTGGACGTCGTCGTCGTCGTCGTCGTTGTGGTCGCTGGTCTGGTCGCTGTTTTTCGTCGCTGTCGCCGTCGCCGCCGCCGCCGCCGTCGCCGCCATGGCCGCCGCCGCCGTCGCCGTCGCCGTCGCCGTCGCCGTCGCCGTCGCCGTCGCCGTCGCCGCCGCCGTCGCCGTCGCCGTCGCCGCCGCAGTCGTCGTCGTCGTCGTCGTCGTCGTCGTCGTCGTCGTCGCTAGTCGTCGGTCGTCGCCCTCGCTCGTCGTCGTCCTTGATGGTTGCCGCTCGACGTCCGTGGTCAGCCGTCGCGCCGCACACCAGGTCATCAGCAAGCCCATCGAGGACGCCCTCGGGAGGGTGACCCGCGTTCTCGCCCGCCACAGCAGAAATCGGGGGAGGAAGGTGGACGGGGGTCGGGGGTCAGCTCTAACTCAGGAGGGACATATGGACACATACGCAAACAGACATTCCACCCGCGGGGAATGGAGGGAGAGACGAAGATCCAGAGGACATGGGGAGATGTGGGGAATCCTGGAATCTGTGCCTACTCGTGTGTGTGTGTGTGCCTCCCTGGGCCCCTTGGACCCATGGGGGCTCCGCCGCTCCCCTCGGGTCGGGCGAGGGAGGGGACTCGTCGTCGTCGTCGCCGACGACGCTGCTGCGTGCAGCTGGCCTCGGATCCCTGCCGCCGGGCGCTCTCCTCGGCACAGCACAGTTGGCGTTAAGAGCAATCCTAGTTTTGGAGGGGTACTCTCACGTTCTTCGCCGTTGGGCTCTCCACCTTGGGACGCCCTTCGTTTTGGAGATCTCCATGGCGCCTTTGGGCTCTCGGCAAAGGGGCCCATGTTCTTGATCCACGTTCCTGTGACCTTGTTGCGGCTGTAGTCGGAAGCCTTGAGAAAGGGGTCAGTGCAAACGAGGGTTAACCAGAGCGGCGGTTCTTGCAAGATCCTGCAGAGTTAGGGGTGCACTGACCTGGGATGGCGCACAGACAGGATCCTGCAGGATCCTGCAAGGCCTGACTGAGCCGGGTTTGCACTGAACTGGGTCAGTGCATCCCGGGGGGTAGGCTCATGCGGCGTTGGCGCGCAGGCGACGCCAGTGGAGGCGTTCAAGGTTGAGTTGTGCGACGCGGAAGCACCGAGGGACGCCAGAGGACCCGACCGAATTCTACTTGGAATGATCGGGGCCGCGGTCGATTCGAGGTTGAACATTCAACGCGGTGTCCAGAACTTTCGCGCGCGCCGACTCCGCAGAAGCCCACCGTACACTCCAGGAGCGAACAGAAGCGCGTGCTCGTATATGAATTTTCGTACGTGCGCGAACGTTCGTAACACGAGGCTGGCCCCGCGTACTGCGGGGCTGCATTCATGCACGTGGCCCGGCGCGCACGTCTTCTGCGGGTTCCCAACACTGAGCGCCCTTGGAGCAGAGGGACGCCGGGCGAAACAGCTACTTGAGCTGATTCCCTACCCCCTTTGCTCACTCCCCCCCTTTCGTCCGATCCGAGTCTTCCCGATTCACCTCTTGATGGCCAGGGTTTGGGAGCAAACTATCCCGAGCTCATTGGAACCTGCCCCTGAAGTGATGAATTGAATCTGGTATTACGATCAAGAAAAGATCGCGGGGGCGGGGGGGCAAAAACGATGCGGAAATGGGGCTTGCACCTCTGGTAAGCGTTCTTGTTGCCGACAACGGCGCCAACGAGCAATCATGACACTCGACTAGTAAGTCGTCACCTAGGGCACCGCTGCGTGACGGCCCACCCCCCAGGCCTTTTTGAACAGTCCTTCTATATTATTGCTCTTTGCTTCCTCCTTCTCCCGCCCTCGTCGCTTCCACTCCCCGTTAGTCCCGCTCGTTTCCCAAGGGCGGGCTTCTCATGCAGAGTAGTTTTGTTCGGTTCCAGGATCCAGGGGGCCCGTAGCCATTTTGGCTCAAGCCATCCAGCTTCTCTCAAAGCAACTCGGCCTTCTCGAGGCCCCTCCTCGTTCGCGGTGAGCCGCGGATCGGGCGGCTCAGGAGGAAGCGATCATGCTTGGTCAGTCTGCATGGGTGGTGGCGCTGGCCTTCGCCTCGACCATCTGGGGCATCGCGCAGGCCGAGACTCTCCACGGCTCCGACGACGGCGTGGATGACAGCGTCGAGCTCGTCGCCGACGGCACGCACGACGTGGACGACGCGCACGAGGGCCTCGAGCAGATCGATGGCATCGAGCACGAGGCGCTCAATGCCGAGCAGGTCGAGGGCATCGAGCAGGAGGGCGGCGAGCACCAGTCGCTGAGCGCCGAGCAAATGCTCGGCCTTCACAAGAAGATGGACGCGAACGGCGACGGAAAGGTTTCCATGGCGGAGCTCCTGGCCTTCTCGGACAGCACGCGGAGGCAGATCTTGGAGAGGGAGTTGCAGGCCGTCCTGGAGGAGATGGATCTCGACAGGGACGGGAAGCTGAGCGTCCAAGAGCTCGTCAAGGACCTGGACTCGTGGGGAGGCGAAGACGTCAAGGAAGACGAGCACGAGGCCGCCACGATGAAGGAGTTGGCGACCGCGAAGTTTGGTGCCGCAGACACGAGCAAGGACGGGCTCCTGGACATCCACGAGCTGCCCGCCATCTTCTACCCAGAGACCCACGAGGGCGTCCTGGACCTCACCGCCAGGCAGACGCTGCGAGAGAAAGACGGGGACGGCGATGGCCTTCTCAGTCTGCAGGAGTTTTGGCGCGGCGGCGCCCCCTCAGAGGACGCCCTGGACCAGTACGGGGAGGAGCTGCTCGTCACCGATGATGAGCAGGAGGAGTTCCGAAAGATGGACGCTGACCACAGTGGCAAGCTGGACCTGCATGAGCTGAAGGCATTCCAATCTGGCAGGCTCCACACCGAGGAGGCCATGAAGTCGTTGTTCGAGCTCGCCGACAGGGACAAAGACATGCACGTGACCGCGGAGGAGCTCGGGGCTGCGCGGGAGCAGATCGCTGGCAGCGAGGCCCACTACCCCTTCGCGGAGTGGGCGGACCACTTCGTTGACGACCTCTGAGCGCCTTCTTTTCTTTCCCCAGAGACCAATTGGAGCTGTCTTCGACAATTGTTGCAATCGAGTTGGCACACCACTAGGGCTGGCCCCCCCAGGTCGCTGGAGTCATTCCGGAAAGTCCAGAACCCGTCCATGCAGTGCATCCTTCCTCTAGGCTTGGTAGGCCCCCGTCTGTAGGTCCACATGGTACACGGCAGGTCCTCGGTAGCTTTCAGATTCAGGCACACCACCAATGTTAGCCTATGTTCGCACATTGTCAGGATCCAGGGGAGGCCCGCAGAGGCCGAACACGGTGACAGGTTTCCGCATTGCTTTTTCCAGTGTGATGGTTCCGGTACGTCCTCCGAATTCTGCCTTTAGCCTGCATTGGCGTGCGCCAGCGTCTGGCAAGCGATGAGAAAACGCCATTTTAGCGTCGATATGGCGTCGATTTCGTGTCGATTTGCGTCGATCAGCGTCGATCAGCGTCGGTTCGCAGGAGCCGGCAAGGTGACATGGGAGGCTCCCATGAGTTGCCACAGAACGCTGGAGCCCCAGGTTCCTCCGAGGACGAGCGTTCGCAAGAGCCAGCAAGACGACACTGGAGGCTCCCATGAGTTACCACAAAGCGTTGGAGGCCCGGGTCCCTCCGAGGACAAGCTGCAGGTGAAGCGCGCAGTGGCGCGGAAGACGGACTCCACCTACATCTAAGTCTACGACTTCCCGCTGCTGTTCCACTGGGGCCCGCCTTGGGACTCCGGCGGTCGCCGGCACGAGGAGAAAGTGAGAAGGAGTGAGGGGGGAGGAGGAGAGTGACCCTCAAATACGGCCGTTGCAATTTTTGGGAACAACGGGCGCTTTCGCCTGGCTTCAGGTCCCTGGACCCTCACAGATCGGTCCGGCTCGAGAAGTGACGCAGGAAGATGGGGCCTAGGGCCCAGGGCTCCGGACGGGATTTTTGGCGATTTTGCAATTTTCTGGCAACGTCGGATCTCAGGGAAGGGGAGAGGGAGGGGGAGGAGGGGGAGGGGAGGGGAGGGGAGGAGGGGGAGGGGAGGAATGAGGGGGCAAGAGGTCAGAAGGGTGAGCACTGTCCCAAGGTCACTCTTTAATTCTTGCATCTTCGGCCCATCCTCAGCCGTTTTCGCTCCACGGCTTCAGCTTGTGCGTCAACGCTCCTTGTATGCTTACCGCGCATCTCGATGACACTGTTGCGCTGTAGTGCAGGATAGAAATTTCCAGGGGTCGTGCTCACGCGGAGGCTCCCTGGCTGATGATTAGAAAAACAGGCCCCCGGCCGGGAAACTGCTTTTTGACCGTTCCCTCCCGCCCTCGTCGGGCGCGCGCCTGGACAGTCGACGGGTCAGATGGAGCCGAAGCGAAGCGGAAGCCTAATATTCGGAAACTACTTTGCGAATCGTCCACCCCCCCCACACAGTCTTTGCTCGATCGTCATCCTACACTTCCAAACGCTGCAGAAGCATCAGCTCCCAGAGGTCCGCGCGGGATTTTCGTGGGGTCGGCTCCTGGACACCCAGCGGCGACGCCCATCCAGCGCTGCCGCTGGCGTGCTTCGCGCGCCAGGGGACGGGGGCCCGGCGCCGACCCCAGAAATGCTCGCGGACCTTCGACAGTGTATGCTCGTCGGGTGAGGAAACCTCGGCCCCCGCCCACAGCAACGCGCTGCGCATGACAGCGGCGCGCCCAAAGCGCTTCCTGTTCGGCTCAAGCCCCTCCCTGCCGACAGCATCGGCACTACCAACGGCGATGTCGGTGATACATCGTACTAGGGGCCAGGGGTCGAAGTTTCTCATTCATATGCAGTTCCAATCTCTTCGTAAGATGGCACGCAGGCAAGGGAGAGGGCGAGGGGTCAGAGGCAACGGTTCGCGGGGGATGTGCTCAGGGGGGATGCGTCGACCCCCCATCGCCCTTGCATCGCCGACAGGGGCCCGATAGCCCACACGGCCCAGAAAAGTGCATCTTCGCCATCGGGAGCCTATCATTTGAGTCGGGCCTGTCCCTCTACAGGAGGAATATTCGAGAAAACTGAGAACATAGTCTGAAGAATGTTTGATCACTTTTGATTGTTTTTGAATATTTCCCCAATCAGAGCTTGCCTCTATAGGGGTCCCAGCGGATTCATATGGTTAGGTGAGATTTGCAGCCGATTTCCGCGGCCCGCCCGGGTGTCCGGGTGCCTTATAGCCCTATCGCCCTGTAGCCCTATAGTTCCATAGCCCAATAGGCCTATAGCCCTAAAGCCCTAAAGCCCTATAGCCCTATAGTCCTATAGCCTTATGGCCTTATAGCCCTAGAGCCCTAGAGCCCTAGAGCTCTATAGCCCTATAGCCCTATTGCACCATTGCCCTATATCCCTACAGCCCTATGGCCCTCATGGCCCTATAGCCCTACAGCCGCATGGCCCCATAGCCCTATAGCCCTATAGCCCTGTAGCCCTGACGGGGTGGAGGAGGTAGATGCAGGGTGGAGGAGGGAGACGACGAGGGCCTCGAATATCAGTTGTCGCCGTCCGTTCCTTGCATGCTCGAAGCAGGGGGAGGAGTGAGGGAGGGAGGGAGGCAGGTAGGGTGGGATGGGAAGGAGGAGGAGGAGCAGGAGGAGGAGGACGAGGAGAAGGAGGAGAACGCAACCGGCCCCGCCTCATTGCTGCTTAGCGTCAAAAAGGAGGAGAAAGAGGAGGATGAGGAGGGGGAGTTGGATGTGGAAGGGGGGAGGGGATGGGGAGGTGGTAGGGTCGTGCCGCCCGGGGGGGGGGCGGCCGCAGGTTCCGCACCGCCCTGGTGAAGAGCTGGCTGCAGGCCCCTTGCTGGTTCCCGCGGGAGCGGGGGCAGGGAGGATGTCAGAGGCAACGATATCAGCTTTGCGAGAACAGCGACATCATCATTCTCTTTTCGTTCTCCTACCCTTTACCTCTTCCATTTTCTCAGTTCGCATGGCGAACTGCTGAGAGATGCGCGGCGTGACCCAGGTAGAGTGTTTTTTTGGAGGGATCGTGAGAAGTCGTTCGTCGCTTCGCGAGCGAGCGGGGGGGGGATGGCCCGGGTGTGGGCCCTCCACGCTTCCTGGCGCCAGCAGGCCAATTCCCGTCCCCCAGACTGCCAGGGCTTCAAGGATAAGAGAAGAAGATAGGGAGGGATGGGCTCGGGTGGCAATGCGTCGACCCCCCAAATGCCCATTCATAGCCGAGACGTGCCTGATAGGCCACCCCCGTCCCGATTTCCCGATGCGACACTAATTTTTCGATTCCGAGTCGATCTCCCAATTCGAAACTGACAAGTTTCGTGTAGAGACCCCCCTTGTTGGGCGTCCCGCTGGCTGTCGGAGGCTTCGAGGGGATCAGGGTGATGAGGAGAGCCGACTGAGCGGTACGGTTTTTGTCGTGAAATCCATGGAGGTGGGGATCTATATTTCCCGCTGTGGACAGCGCGCTGTCCGCTGTCCTTGGGGATCCAGGCCAGCGGGAGCAACGACTTATGATCCGAAGGGCGAGGCTAGGGTCCATGTCCATCCGATCGGCTCGATACGGCCATCGATTCCTGTCAGGCTCGATCCTTCCGACCCCGATTTGCCCAGCGATCCGCTGGCGTGGGCGTTGCTGTGCATCCTGGTGCGACCGATGCGATTCGATCGCGATTCCGTACCGATGCAGCCCGCCGATCCGACGCATGTTTCGATACGGATTGATCCTGGGCTGGCTCCCTCAGCGGCACCGCAATGGACCACTGTGTATTCACCACCGGGTACTTATTGGAAGCCTTGCCACTTCTAGGGGCCTCTTTTGTCGCACTGGTTGCAGAATTGCCCGCGTCGAGAGTGGTTGTGCTCGCCGGTTCGTTTGCCAAAGTGTGCGTCAGTTGTGTCCCAGTCGTGTGGGGGGCTGACTCCCGCTGTAGAGACTGCAAGATTGTGGATTCCTCGGCGAACTTCTTTGCGCGTGCTGTCGGATGCCCCGAGCAGCTCTTGCCCGAGGTATCTGCGGCGCGCACAAGGCGGGCGGGAGTCCTCCCCCCCACCGCGTGCAGGTCTCGAGATGCAGTCGCCGTGGGTCCTGAGGGGGAGGCGGGCCTGCGAGGTTCCTGGCTGTTGCCGGCCCCTGGGGCCCTCCGCGGGCCCCGGGGTGGTCCAGAAACGGGGGAGGGCCCTGGTGTCCAGTCGGGGGCGGCCAAGAGCGGGGTGATGGCTAAAGGGGGGAGGGTATTGTGGCCTGGGCCATGATATCCCCCTGGATTTCGTGGCCTCCCCTTTTTCTTCCAATGCGTTCCCTGGCCTCCCCTGGTCCGCGCACATGCCTCGGGCAACGATTTGCGAGCCCCCCTTCTTGGACTCCCCTGATTCAGGGCCCGTTTTTCCTCAGGGCCCGCCTGCTTCCTGCCACTTGGGCTCGGGCGTGTGCGTTTTTCTCGGCGGGGCCAGCGCCAGAAGTTCTGGACAATCCCAGGGCACCTTGTCATCAAGAACACAAGAATTCCGAACCCCGTAAACACTCTTAAGACGTAGCCTGACGTAGGCCCCAGTGTTTGCATTTGGGGATACTTCATCTGGTTGGTTTGGATCGATCCATATGTTGAAAAGGCCTCCATACGTAACGCGACGGACCTCTTAACTTAGGTCCTTTGTGATTGGTTCCTTTGTCAATCATCTTGGGCCACCTTGAGAGAACAAAAAAACAGCACGCGCGAGACCACACAATGCACGGGGAATGGACGCCCGGACGATGGCAAGGCCAGCGCTCCTTCCCCAGCCCGTGGCGGCCGGGGCCGAGCCCCCCTGCCCTGCTCCCCTTGCCTGTCGCGCCGTCTTCCCAGTCGTCTTACCACTCACCATGCACTACTCACTACACTACTGACCCCTCACTACCCACTAATAATTCCTTACTACTTCCTTCCCACTACTCACTAATCTCTACTCGCTACTCACTACTATCACTACCCATTACCCACTAATCACCTACTCACCACTCACGAGTCAGTGCGCACTACTCACTATCAAATACCCACTACTCACCAATCGCTACTCAAAACACTTCACTCTCTACCCACTACCCGAGAAGCCCCCTCTCCAGCCCCCTGTTCGGCGCAAATGGGGGGGGGGGTTCGAACCCCCCCCTTTCCAGCGCCAAGGGGGGAGGGGGGGGGTCCGGAACCCTCCCCTCCCCCTTCAAGGGAGGGGGGGGGGGGGTTCGGACCCCCCCCCTCCCCTCAAAGGGTAAGGGGGGGGGTCGAAAATCTCACCCCCCCCTTTGAAGGGGGG